GCACGGTCATGACGGTCGTCTTCCTCATCCTCGGCATTTTGGTGGGACGAGATCAGAAAGTCCAGCGCCGGCTTCATCGTGCTCTTTGGCCTAACGCTCTTCTTTGCCAACTTTGGCCCCAACATGTCGACGTTTGTGATGCCCACGGAGATGTACCCGACCGCCATCCGCAGCTCGTGCCACGGCTTCTCGGCGGCCATGGGCAAGGCCGGCGCGTCCATTGGCTCGTACGGCTTCTCGCTCTGGGTCGACAACCCGAGCTTTGGCTACGTCGGCACGTGGTTTACGTTCGCAGGCATCTCGGTGCTCACGATCGTCCTCACGGTCTTTTGCATGTTTGACAACAACGACGAGGCGAGCGTCATGGACAACGACTTCAAGGCCAAGCTCGCGATGGAAGACGACGACGTGCGCAAGTCGTTTGTGAGCCAGATGGAAGAGCCGCTCGACCACTACGTCGAGAACAAGGCGTAGCGTGCAATATAATGTGAATAGAAGTAGAGTCCATGTGAAGTGAAATAGAGGTTGTGTGCTTCTGTTGTACTCTGATGACGATTTTTAGTCGGTTTGGCAGTTACAAGGATGTCCATTATTGGGGCTTTCAGCGAGGAACTCAATGAGGTCGCGGCTTTGTTGGCGCCCTGTCGCGTGCGTGAAGAACCCGTCTAGAATAAGTGGTGAGGCACCATCACGCGGCGTAGGACTTGGCAATAGGTAATTTGATCTTGCGTCTTCTTGCGTCTCCTAGACGCCCGGTAGAAGAAGACGTCCATTTCCGAGGACCCGAACGCTCATGCCATCGCGGTGTGAAGCAGATCGCCGACGTGCAATGTGATTCGCTAATTCAAGTTGTGTGATTCTAGCTGGCCAATGGCATCGAAGCTTGCAACGAGGCAACACCAGCGACGCTCAACTTGTCAAGCAAATAGGCATAGTTGCAGGGCATATTCGGTGCCATAATTCCCACCGACGTCAATCATTCATTAGCAGTGACGTTAGTGCGTCACCTTCCGGTTCTGGGCCGCTCTCTTTGAATGCGGGCTCGAGCTTTGGGCAGGTATTCTACAAGCGTTGTCGTCTAGCCTCAAACCCAACACTTGAGGCTCGTCCGCGCTGACCCGTCGTCATGCGACATACAAACGAAATGAGTCGATTCCGATAATTCCCAGCCTGCGCTTGATGCCACTCGTGCGGCCGGGCTCGGTATTTCTGTCCTAGGTTCGAGGCATAAATGGAAATCCTTCCTGGACTGCGCTTGAAGCAAAAAACAATGAGTCGATCCGACACGCCTCCGTCGCGCGTCTCGACGTTGAAGCTGTTCTGGTTGAAGATGGCGTTTCAAGGACGTGTTGGTTTCGTGCTGCCTGTCTAAAATAGCGCGCAGTCCCCAACGGTCCGCTTGGCGCGCACCCTCGCAGCGCCCTCTGGCCTCTCGATGAAACCAGCCCCGGCGGCGGGCCTTGTGATGCACACTGCGACGATGAAGAACACGCGCAAGATCTCGCCCGAGCTGCAGTCGGGCAACACGCACCGTGCGCTGCACCGGGACAACTCGACCAACAAATTCAACACCAACACGAGCCGTGCCCTGCACCGGGACAATTCGACCAACAATTTCACGACCATGGCCACGCTCCGACCACCGCCCTTCCACAGGGCTGGCAGCATGCGCACGCCGACGCAGCGCTGGGGCATGGCCATCCTCGAGCGCAAGTCGTACGCGGGTTTGATGAGCATAATCACGCTCTACTGCCTCTTCGCCGACGACTTTCGCGCGGCTTTCTTTAGCAAGAGCGCCGACATGGGCTTCTACGTCGTCGCGTTCCTCTGCCTCCTCCTCTTCCTTATCGAGTTTGGTCTCTCGTGCCTGTGCAAACCGGGCTACCTCCTCTCCTTCTACTTTTACCTCGACGTCCTCGCCACCTTCTCGCTTCTGCCCGACATTGGGTTCATCTGGAGCCCGCTGACGAACGCCGATACGGTCTCGAGCGTCTCGAAGGCGGGCTCGACAGCCGGGCGCATCGTCCGTGTCGTTCGCGTCATCCGGCTCATTCGTGTCGTCAAACTCATCAAGTGGAAGCACAGCAAGGCAGAATCGGACTTGGTCATTGTCGAGAGCAAGACGGGCGGCCGCATGGCCGAAATGACCATTCGCCGCGTCGCTCTGATCGTGCTCTTCCTCTGCTTTGTGCTCCCGGCCTTTGACGGCGGCTACAACGAGTCGTTCAACCTTTTCGAGTCGCGCGGCTTTGACTTGATCCACCAGATGACGACGACGCCAGCCGATGTGTCCGTGAGCCCGATCTTTCTCAACACCTTTGGAGTACCGATTTCTGTGTCTTTGAATGGTTGTTCATGGATGTGTGTAGAGCTGGTTTTACTACACGACCAACGACATTGTGTACCTCTCGCTCCACAACATCACTGGCGACAAGTTCGGGCGGCTCTTCACGTCGTTCTCGTTTCCAAGGACGGACGTCTCGTCTGCGCAGATGGCCAAGGTCTTGCCGTCACAGGCCGCCGTGCTCGACACTTACCGCATCAGCGAGCTCCGGTCCATCACATCCACTGGCTGTTTTGCGGCGTGGAATGGGTCGGACATTGTAGCCGACCCCGTGCTCCTCTCGGCGTCGTGTCACTCGGTGGTCTGGTTTGATATTTCGGAGATGGCCCGAGCCACGGCCATCTCGGGCATCTACCGCACGATCTTCATCCTCGGCATCCTCGTCGTCTCGTCCATCTCGTTTGTGCACGTGGCCCGCGTGACGGTGCTAGACCCGATCGAGCGCATGGTACACTCTCTCCATCACAATCGTCGTCGTCATCGAGCCATGTAGATGGCGACCGTCAAGGAGCTGTCCGAGAACCCGCTTGGGAAACATACGCACGTCGAACATGAGGACCAGCGACTCGCCAAGGAGAAGGGCGTGGAGACCGCGGTGCTGGAGGCAACCCTCGAGAAGATTTCGGGCTTGATGCAAGTCGGTTTTGGCGCTGCTGGCGGCGACATCATTGGCAAGAACATGGGCGCCGGCGACCTCGACCCCATGTTACCCGGGAAGAAGATCACGTCCATCTACGGCTTTTGCGACATTCGCCAGTTTACAGACACGACCGAGTGCCTTCAAGAAGAGGTCATGATCTACGTCAACAAGCTCGGTCACATCATGCACAGCGGGACGCACCACTACTACGGCATGGCCAACAAGAACGTCGGCGACGCGTTTCTCTTGAGTTGGAAGATCTGCGATGGTGAGCTGCCCGGCTTTGCGCGGTTCAGCGACACGCCGACGGAAGAGGACCGCAAGGTACACCACATCCTTCTTCAACACTCTGGATCCGATGGATATGTAGGCCGTGAACCTCTCGACCAAATGCCCTGCGAATGCTGGTGCGGGCCAGCGCATGCGACGCATCACGCCGACCGAGATGGCCGACTCGGCGCTCACGGCCTTTCTCAAGTGCATGATCGACCTCGACAACGCCAACTCGTTTGGCGTCTTGCACGAGTACATCATCAAGGACGTGGTCGTCAAGCGCTTCGGCGCTGGGTTCCGGGTACATCGACCTCAACCGTCGACGCGACTCTACTTGGACGTAGATCCGCATGGGCTTTGGCATGCACGTGGGGTGGGCGATCGAAGGTGCGATCGGATCACGTTTCAAGATTGATGCGACGTACATCTCGCCGCACGTCGAGATGGCGGACCGTCTCGAGGCCGGGTCCAAGATCTTCAAGACGCCCGTCAACATCAGCCACTGGTTGTACGCGCTGCTGTCTCCGGCGGCGCGCAAGTTTCTGCGCAAGATGGACCGAATCCGCATTCGAGGGTGCGTCATTTTGATGGAGTGGACGAGAATGAAATGAATCGGGTCGAGTAGCGTGGACACGCCGCTGACAGTTTACACGTTTGACGTGACCAACCCCAAGCCAGGGTTTGCAACCCCTCGGTGGGCGTACACCCCATCGTTCCGAGGCTCACGACGCGTAGATTCGAAAAGGATGAAGAAGGCGACGACATGCAGATCCCAGTGGATTTTGAGAACGACGCCGAGTACAAGGAGATCCGAGAGGGTCTGGACCCGGCCTTTCTTGAAGCGGCGTCCAACGGAGTCGAACTCTACCTCAAGGGTGACTGGCGCAGCGCCAAAACAGCCTTTACACTCGCACTGGAACTTCGACCAAGCGACGGTCCCGTGTCGCACGTCATGGACTACATGAAGAGCTTTGACTTCGACTCGCCAAAGAACTGGGATGGCGTTCGTGACCTTGACGGCTACTGATGAAGTAGAAATTAATTTTACATGCATTTGGTTAGACGTGTCACGCTCGCCGTTTCGAGCTGCGGGTCTGACGATCCGAGACGCGGCTTTCTGAATTCAGTGGCTCCGGAGCCCACTGGATTGGCAGTCCTAGAATCCAAGAAAACCATGTTGTGGCTCTACGTCATGACCTGATTTAAAACTACTAGTATGTGATGGGGAGTTGAATACTTCAACGACTGTGGATTGAAAACACTTTATCCGGCATTGTACGGATTTCGTGTGTTGGACACCTCGCTGTGGCTTGGGAAAAGGGGCGAGCGGCCAAGTGTAGGGACCAGGCGCTGGAACGGGCAAGTATTCCCAGCAGCGTAATCCTCAACGAGTTTGGCAAGCTGGTGTTGCGACTAGTTAGGTTATTAGCTTTACTTATCGATTATGCTCCAGGTTAGCTTGTTTCGGCGAGGCCGAGTGTGCGGAGAAGCCCAGCTCAATACCAAGGGTACATAAATTGAATTTATGTACCCTTGTCAATACTACCAAGTCTACTAGTACATTTTTCATCTTTTTCATCTTTTTCACTTGGCCATTCCGTCTAACGCATTAGGTTGACCATGCTGCATTTTGAAATGAACTCACCAAGATTTGGCACATACGCTTTGGGAAGCACATAAATCGAGATCGCGTCGACGTCCGAGGTGTACTGCGGTCGCGAGGTGCGATCTTGGATGCGATGGGGGTCCGCCAGGACTAAGATCGTAGTGCCCTCTCAGAGACACCGCACTAGGATGCTGGTGCCACTCGTCGACAAAACAGCGTTCGAAATGAAATCGCCTATAGTCGGCTCAGTGATAGATGACACTTTGGGAAGCAGAGCAAGCCACACTACGCTGCCGCAGCAGTCGTACAACACGCGCAATGGTCATCACCAGATACAAAGTGCTCTTAAAACGTTAAAAAGCAAATGACCGCATTGGCACATTGATACACCGTCTTTGTCAACTACACGATCACCCTTATACTGGAATGAGAATGGAATTCTTGGCAACAATTACGGAGTTACTACGTTTAAAGCGACCGCATCCTGTGGAGCGATTGGTACGAGAAGCTCTAAACTCACAATGTGCGCATGCTCTTCGCTTCCATTTTGGCGCTCGTCGCGCCGGACCTTTCCGATGTTCGCGCGCGTCCACACCACCTTATGTGCTTGCGGGTCCGGCTCGTTTCGATATGTTGTTATTGGCTCAATTCTTGATTCTTTCTAGCCAATCACAAGACTTGGTTCACGCACGACCTCACCATAAATAGTGTGAGCACCATTCAGCAGAACGAGGACTAGCAGCCCTCAGACGCGCCAGCGCCACGTAGCACCCGGGTATACCTATAAACACATTTCTTGAACGACGTACATGCCGTTTCCGACGCTGCACGTAGCGCAATCACACGCAAACCCATTTTCCATTTTTTGAGGTGGTGGCAGAATTGCCCAAATACTTCACGTGACATCGCGGGGTTCCGAAGCTCCAAGGACCGTAAGACTGGCTGCCACAATTGGCGATGGGTCTTGAGCCGGTGTGCGACCCGTTTGTTGGTCGCCGTCGTCGCTTGGGCGCTCACACCAAACTCGAACTGCCGAGCGTCGGTTTTTACGAAATTCGACATGTAATTTCGGTCGAAAATGCGTCGAAGTCGCGGAAACCGAGGACGCCGTCTCTTTTTATTCGTGTTAGAGAGCGTGTTGCATGTGGCTAAGGGAGGCAAAGTGCGCGCGATACCGCTGCGTGATGAGGCCTTGTATCCCGTACAGTATTTCAGTATAGCGAAAAAGCACACTATATCAAACTAGTGTTTGCCGCTGTCATTTGCTCTCGCTACAGAGCTCGCACGGCGACGTCACATAGCATTATAGACTCCTCAATGTGCGGTCTACCACGCTGGCAAGTATGGGCGATCTCACTTTCAAACTTCATTTTGGTCGATCTGCCGGCGCGGCAGGTCTGTGTCCGCCCAAATATTGTTATTTATGGTTGTAAATGGCGAACGCCAAGAATAATAACCGGCGACGCCAGAGAGACGACGCCGAGGCTCCTCGGGCACCAATGACGCAGCTACACTGTGCTGGAGGAGGCTCCATCAACACTACGCATACGCCATCAGGAGGTATCGCTCGGTCGCAATGCAGCGTTCCTCGTCGGTCTCCCTCATTTTCGTCAACGCCAGGCCAAAGCGTTTCAGCCAATCAGAGCGTCAAGACTTTCAATTTGTGGCCATTCAGAGCGGCAAGGATTCACTTTGGAGCCAATCGCCAGTGTTCTTGCCGCAGTTCTCGAACCGATCGTCGCCGCCAGCCCAGGCACATGGTACGTGGCACGCCGTGCGCAGGCCTCAGGCCGAGGCGCTCACG